CTCTTTTCATTTCTCCACATGGACCTATCATTTTCTTTTTAAAAAAGTTTTGATATCTTTAAAAAGTAGACAAATACATTTTGCATTTGAGAGATTCGTATTTTACAGGAGTCAAGCATGAAAGCCCCCACACCCTGGAGTGACTACCTGGGGACAGCTCAATGTGCAGTTTCATTTCTAGAGGCTTACATACATACACAAACAATAGTATTTTCGCATGAACAGGAGACAGTATACTATTCCACAACTGGGTTTTTTTTTTCATTTAACGTACTGATTTATGCACGAGGCTGAACATTTTCTTCTGAATGCTTATTCGCCATTCATTTCTTTTTCTGTGAACTACTTCTTCATAACCTTTGCCCACTTCTCTACTGAGCTGTCTTCTTCTAGGTTCACATTAATTTATACTCACACATTGTAAACACTCATCTTTTGTTATCTATGTTGCACAGACCTATTTTCCAACACGTTCATTTACCATTTCCTAACAGTATAGTTTTGGGCAAGCCACTGAACCCAGGGCTGTTTCCTTACCTAGACAGTGAGGACACTGCCTGTGTGAGACTGTGGGGAGAAGCGAGAACTGCATGCCAAGTACTAAGCATTATGCCTGGCATTCAATTCAAGAAGTACTCAATAGATGTTAGCCACTCTTCACTACCTAGACTTGAGGTCACAAGCTGGCTAGATATAGCTTTGCCCATAGTGTTTAAAAGTAATACATTTGAATCCTTTAGATGAGACATACATTTTCTGGTTGGCCATACCCTCACCTGTCTCCCCAGTTTGTTTTCACAACAGCTTCTCAGATCTGTTACCAGCCTTCCACTCTCCCAAGTTCTTAATGAATGAAAATAAAGCAGGCTTTAAGATTATTATACATTATATAATTATTATAATCAGGCCTGCTCTTTGTACCCATTATGCACTGCACAACACTTGGATATACTGTTCACACTGTAGCCTACTATGGGGTTGGGCAATGTACAACCTGCACATCAGTACATGGCAGCCTGGTCCACATTTCAAGAAATTTAAGGCATTCTCACTGCAATTTAAAAGGCTTTCACAGAGGCTCTATTTTCACAACACCCACTAGGTAGGATCAAGGTGGGACTGATCTCTCTAAGTACAGATGGGGTAGGAGGTAGAGCTAGTAAGCCAGAAGTGTGGGCCCAAATATCTCGACATTCAAATTGCAGCTATGAAAAACCAAGTCATCAAGTCCCTCTTGGTATCCTCTCAAAGAAAGGCAAGATGAGAGCTTTTGCATTTCCAGAGGCTTCCCAGAGATCATCAAGGAGAAACCATATTAAAAATTACTACCCCTAGGGCTGGCTCAGTCAGTAGAGCAGCTGACTCTTGATCCCAGGGTCATGGGTTTGAGCCCCATATTGGGCACAGATATTACTTTAAAAAAAAATTACTATCCCTATAACAAAACCATAGATGAGATTTGGCTACATAAAAACCCCTTACACGTATATACAACTTCAAATGTCAAATGTTTTACAAAGTGTATTTATATACCCATTATAACATTTATTAACAAAGCCTTATAAGAACAGACAGGGATTAGGGATTGTAACAGTATTGTATGGACAGTTGGTAGCTACACTTGTGAGCACAGCATAACGTATACACTTGTCAAATCACTATGTTGTATACCTAAAACTAATGTAACATTGTGGGTCAACTATATTTCAATAATAAAAAAAGAATGGACAGGGATTATTATACCCATTTGGGGTCATCAGATGAATCTGGGGGGGGATACCTCTAAAAAACTCCCTCCAAAGAACTAAAAGGCGGTCTTACCTACCAGTTGAAAGGAACTGTGGCAAAGTGACAATCTGAAATGATGCGTATAAAATCCTGGGAGACAGTGACAGTCACCCAGCTATCAGTTATGGTTTCAAGATACTGACTGCATCCATGTGTGCGTGCGCAAGCACACACAGAGTTTCTAATGTACAAATGAATTAAAAGTTTTCAGACTGACAAACTTGTCATGGAAACTGAATAAATATGCAAAATAAAGAGCAAAATAAACCCGAGTCCAACCACCTCGTTAATAGCTGAGGTCTTTATTTCAATTTGTATGTACAGTAAAAGTGCTGCTGAGAATATGCAGCAACCAGACAAAACATAAATGTAATTCTCTCTCAACAATTAGCAGCTTAAGATCTATCAACTACAGTGTTAACGTTCACACGTTCACAAGTGTCATTTCTGTACTTTTCAATTCGTGCAAGTGAGTTTTTATTCTGACACACTTTGATAAAACACACTTACAATCTAGTAGTCAGTCCTACTGAGGGTATCACCTAGCATACACAACACACAGACAGAAATGTTAACTCTTAGAGCCACATTCAAAATCCCCAGTTTCATCTGGGGGTGGGAACCATAATTTTGCCTGTGTCAATTTGTTGATTATAATATTTGGTTTTGTTTTGGATGCGTATTTCCCAAAGCTGAAAGGCAGCTCCTCACTGGAACTTACTTGGAATTCAGTATTTCATCTGACTGTACCTCAAAGGAATATGAAGTCAGAAACAAAACCAAATGCAGTGAAGACCACATAAAAATATGCTTATTATTAGGGCATGGCTAGCAAGGAAGGCTTGATCCCAGTGTTTTCCTTGGTATCAGATTTTTACCTCAGTTGGGTGGCAGGGGTACAGGGGAGAAAGAAGACCCCAGTCAATGAAGTGTAAAATTTAACCTACTTTTGCTTCTTAGGGAGCCAGTGAAGTAGAAAGCCTTCCTTGCTAGGATGCACTGAGTATATACCAAGGAACTGAAATTGGAGCAGACAGAAGTGCCCTTCAATTGAATCATAAAAATGGTAAAATGTTATTCTACAATGAACAGAGTCACCCAGGCTACCACAGCCAGCCTCAAGCACCAGCACTAACAAGTAATCCAGGAATGCTTCATTTCAAAGGGAATGCACGTAATCTTTAAAAGAGAAGAAGCATTAAAGCAAGGGGAAATTTCCACTCACAGAACAATTGTTAAACAACCATTAGAGTGAGGTTATAGAAGAGCTCTGAATAGACCAGAATCCGGGAACAGCCACAATGCAAAGAAACACAAAGGCAACAGGTGTGGGAGCGGGAAGTGGGGGAAGGCATGAAAACAGATGCATGGTTACAAATAGCATTAAATGCAGACAACTGTTGGGCCTGGTGAAGAATCAAGGGACAAGACACGTAGAAAGCCATTACTGTGACTAACCTAGCTTGAAGCTCCTTCCTAAGACAGTTTGAGAGAGGATGGTGGACAGTTAGCACGGGCCTGTTTGGCTGGGATCTCAGGGGGCTGTCCAGAGGCGGAAACCTTCCTTTGATAGAAATTGGCCCATGGCAAATGGGAACAATTTCAATCCATCTATCACAGTGAATTCTAGCGCCCACAAAACTTAGTAGCCTCTACACAGTTTAGGGGACTCAAAGGTTCTTAGAAAAACTGGAGGAGGGTGGCTAGAACCTCTTTTTAGTAACTTTGTGGGGCTCTCTTCCCTACTCTGAGTGATTAAGCTAGAGCAGAAGGTTACGAGAAACTGCTAGTTTGACAAGGTCATGGTGTCCTTTGGCACTCCTGCCTGAAGTCACTGCAATATTTTTAGGCAAAGTTAACATTTAAAATACATAGGCATGGGAATAATTTGTTTTTGGCCTGAACGTGAATTGGTTCCAATTATTTTTTAATAGAAAAATCATCCCCGTGGTCCCTGCTCTGGGCACTAATTTTAAGAGGTCAACAGAGCTAACAGGTTGTACTACAATCATCTGAGGATGGAGTGAAGATTGGGGTACCTGAGTTAAAATATCAAAATGATTATGGAAACAACATGCTGACTCTGAGAAGGCCAGCCTGCCAAAGCCACAGGAGGCTGGAGCTGTCATGTAAACCATCCTCTCAGACAGAGAAGGCAATGCTAATCTAGTTCCAAAAGAATTTCCTGGTATGGGAAGAATAGGCAAAGCATGCTTTGCTACTCTTTTCAGGGCATGTTACATGCCCCTTGCTCATCACCTGGTTGCACAGAACCGAGGCCAAGCAGGAACAGCATTTGTGATTCAATACTATGAATATGAAAAGATTAACCAAGCTTTCTAGATAGGCTCTAAAAGCCCAGTTCCATCCTGGTGGAACTGGTTATAGCATGGGGAAGGCGGCTCAGTCATTTTTTTCTAAACTGTCTATAAAAGTCCACTGAGCATAGGTATGTTAGTAAGTTAGTCTAGATGAATAGGCAGTGGACATTTTATACCCCAAACTTGGGTCCTTCTAACCTGACAGATCCTTTTCTGTTCTTTAGGGAGAATCATCTTCAGTTGATTCTCTCAGGCAGACAGAATAAAGCTTTGAAATTAAGGATGCTGGGGCCAAAATGCAGACAGAAGATTCCACATCACTTTGGTTTCAGTAATCAGGGGTTGTTAAAAATAAATTAAGGAAACACAAGGAATTATGTATGACTCTCATAATATAGTCTCAATTTTTCCTAAAGACCACCCCAGCCCAAAGTCACTGGGTGAACATTTTCTTGGGGCAAAAAAATCTCTATCCTATCATGCTGGTTTGTGGAAACAGCCTCCTCCTCCCCCTGCACACCCCTTTCCTCTCCAACCAAGCCAAGCCCATGAAGTGGTGTGGTGGGGGCGGCAGGCACCAAAAAGCAGCAGCCAGAGGAGGAAGTCTACGCTGCATCTCAAAACAAGGGCATCAGAGGGAAGCATTTATAGCAAGTCTTCCTTTACTCAAACTGCTTCAAGACAAGAGGGAGCAGCACACTTAAATATCCACACATTTCTTCATTTAAAAACATCACTTCTTTATTTCAAAGGAAAAATAAAAGACCCTCCCAACCCTTTCCAAAAAAACCCAATAATAATAACAATAATAAAAAAATCCTATTAGAAACCATAAGGAAGCACTGAGAGTTTGAGGATTACATTCTTCAAGTATGCTGTTCGGATTTTTTGTTTTTTTAAGTTGGTGACTATACACATATTTAAAAAAACCTTAAAAGTGCGGCCAAGGGATTTTGCTTAAAATTAAGTATTTAGAGGGCTACTTCAAAATACTGTAGTAGGGCTTTGCAGTGATCCTTTGGGGCATGATGCTCTCACTTTTGTATCCTAGCAAAGGTTAAGGGACCAGGTTCAAAAGTGATCATACTTCCAGGGTTAGCATGAGTGGCCAACTTGGGTGAGAAAGCCAGGGAGAGATCCATGTGTTCTTCCACGGACAAGGACAATCCACCCTGAATCCAAAAATTCAGACATGGAATGTGGTAGGATTTCACAGTAAAGTTAGTCTGGGAGGGGGAGAGGTGGTGAGCCCAGACGAGGCAGGGTGTTAGGTTTAACTGGTTTCCCTAATCAGGTTTTTGCATCTTTTTAGTGGGTTTTAGTGCAGTCCTTCAAGCCACAATTTAGAATGCCCTTCAGTGTGCTCCAGATTGTTGGTTCATATTAAAGGACTGTTTAAGATTTGCATCCCAAGGAAAATCATGCTACATAAAAATGATCCAAGATTTTTGCCCAAAAAACTTCTTGGATAAAATCTAAAAAATACTATTGCAATTGCGTCTCTTGAAGAAAAAAACATTATTCTAAATGTAAACAGATTCACTCAACTCTTTTGTTGTTGTAGAAAACTTCAGAGAAGGTAAGTTGCTGTCTAATTCTTCGCTGCATGCACTCGCCAGAGGGTAGGGGAGCACTGCCTTCTTGTGCCAGCATCATCTGGGAGAGGAAAAGAACCGTTCCACATAGCTGAAGAGGGCATCCCAGTGCTTCCAGAGAAAGGCAATGAAAACCACAAGGAATAAAGTGCTGAACGTCCTGTTGCGAGTCTTCATGAGAGGAACCACACAGTTGGCTACCGTGGAGACAAAGACCAAAAGGACCGCCATGACTGCCAGAAGGATGTTGATGAGTTTGCCCAGAAGGTTCCGGGCAGTGGCATTCTCCAGCCCTTCCAGCTGTACCACCTGCTGCTGCTGCTGCTGCAGCTCCATCTTGGAGATGCGGGTCTGGCACGCCTCCAGGGCCTCCTGTGGGCCAGAACAGGGAACAGTTAAGCTTCTGCTCACACTACTCTGAATAGCTGACATGCACTTTGGGCGAGCCGGATGCATCTTGAGCTATGCCAATGATTTTAAATATGCTAGTCTTGAATAAGAGAGGCCAAATGTTTAAGTCTTTATTCAAGCAATTATTACTCACCTAAACTGCCCTCCACCACATTCCTCCCAGGATGGCTCACAGGAAGCAGGAGCCACACTCGGATTTGGTCTTGAACATTTTAATGAGAAGACCTCTGGGATATGATTTTTTTTTTCCCATGTAAAAATTACTAATTAAAGTTGCACAGGACAAACATACTTGCTCAACATTTCAAATAGGATACATTGTCTCTCTTGATATTTTCCTTAAATCCAGGTCTTAGCCTTGAAGTAATACTGTCACTCTGATATGTGTTCATTCTTTCACCTATATTTAAACACCTACATATTTAAGCCTAGGGAAATGTATGGAATTATTTTTTGACTTCCTATCTTAATAGTATCATACTATAGGAACTAATTCATAACTCATTTTTTTTCACTCAACAGTAGGTCCTGTCGATCCTTTCCATGTCAATGTGTAGAGATTTACCTCATTCTTTTTAATTGCTATGTAGCATTTTATAGTATGGATAGATATGTCACAGTTTATTCAGCTAGTTCCCTGCTGGAGAGATTTAGGTTATTTCCAACTTTTCCACCGTAACAATGATGAGGTGAACATCCTCTGGACATCCTTGTACGCACTATCCATTGTTTTCCAAGTCAAGTAAATCACAGACAACAGTGTAAAGGGCTCTCTGATCTGTCTTCGTAAAAAGAGTACACTCCCCCCACCGCCCCTTTTAAGGTTGATCTTTGTAAGGAGGACACTATGCCCAAACACTAGACCAAACACTGTAAGTGATACACTCCCTTCAAGCCATGGGTTTATATGAAATTTACCCTCAACATTCAGAGGACAAAATATCCTCCAAAGTTCAGTGGTGGTGGGAGCCTTAGGTTTTTCTGGTCTTGGTTTCAAAGCATCCTGGTTTCCTGTGATTTGAGATGAAAGCTAGGCAACTTCAGATTGAAGCAAGCTAATGAATGGACAGTGAATACTACCCAGCCCAGAATGATCATGGGAAAAAAACTAAAACATACAGAATTCCAGAGTCTGGAGAAGATGGCAGCTGGGCAAATGATCCAGACATTCCCTTGTTTCTTTAAGCTGTAATACAAGATTCCTGGACTACTTCCCTTCCCTAAGACCAGCTTATTTCAAGATGCTTTTATGTGAAACCAGCAACTGTTCCCTTAGAAATACCTCCCAACTGGAGTAAGAAAAAGTTACATATTCTATTTCCTCATAGCATAAACTAGAGGGCCTTAAACATAACTGCCTCATGTGTTATTCTCACAAATGGCCTGGCAATGTGCCTGTAAAAGGTTTGGGTTTGGCAACGAGGACAAATGCCTCCCTTGCTACAGAAGACAGACAAGATGGCCCTCTTGTGAGAGCAGCTCCTGAAGCGGTAACCAACAGATGTAATAATGCATGTGGTCTCCTATATACTGAGACCTGTGACCCCCAGAACATTTCCTATGAACCCAAGCAAGCATACCACCCCTATATGGTACAGCCTTTCAAGAAATGTACCTCATTTGAAGACTAGGTATATTACAGTTGGTATAACCTTCTCTTGATACTCTACCTTCCCCATCTTTTTTTCTAAACTTTTCAATATTATGGTAAAATATACCCAACATTAAATTTTAACCATTTTAAAGTGTACAATTCAGTGGCATTTAGTAAATTCATAATGTTGTACAACCATCACTACCATCAAGTTCTAGAACACTTTCATCACCCCAAAAAGAAATCCCCTAAGCCTTAGCTATTACTCCCTATTTCCCCTTCCTGCAGCCCCTGACAACTGCTGATCTTTCTATCTCCATAGATTTGCCTGTTCTGGACATTTCACGTAAATGGAATCATATAATATGTGACCTTTTGTGACTAGCTTTTTTTTCACGGAGCATGTTTTCCAGATTCATCCATGTTATAGCATGTTATCAGTATTTTATTCCTTTTTCCTCTTCTCCTTTTTTATTGTGGTAAAAGACACATAACATAAAACCTACCACCTTAATTAACCATTTTTAAGTGTACAGCTCACTGGTATTAAATCCATTCATAATGTTGTGTAGCCATCGCCACCATCTAACTCCATAGCTCTTTTCATCTTGTAAAACTGAAACTCTATAGTCATTAAAAAAGAACCCCTCGTTCCCTTCAACCCCCAGCCCCTGCCGACCACCATTCTACTTTTTGTTAGTCTTCTGCTTTTACAAATCCAATCCTTCATGCTAACCTGGATGTCCCGGGCCCGTTCATAGGACTGATACGCAATTTTCTCTTCCATGCTGGCCAATTCCTGCTTCAAGTTTAAGATTTCATTCTGATGGAGTTCCGTTAGGTCATTTAGTTGTTCTTCTAATCGTTCACATCTAAGGGCGGGGAGGGGGGAAAGTTAGAATTTTATGCATTCTATATTTTTCCTGGTATTATTCACATCTAATCCCCAAAACCCATTCTGCAAAGGAAGAAAACAAAAGCACAAAGAAATAAATTAAGTCAGTGGCCTGGGATAACAGGGCATGCTAGTGGGGACAGCTATCTTAGTCCCTGGAATGGAAGCCTGTCACAAGGCCATATCATAGCAGCAACATGGTTTTTCCACAATCTTCTCAACACACAGTACTTGCAGCAATGCCAGCAGCCCTGGTCAGCTTGGAGCGTACTCATAATAAATGAGGCAGTTCTTACTTTGTTCTGAGCAGCAAAGGGCAGAGACAAAAACAAGAATACAATTAAGCAGGTCTCATCACAAGATAAACAGCACATAGATGGAAACTGACCTTCTAGCAGTCACCAGTAGCTTATCCTGATACTGGACAGGTCACTCACCTGGATGTTCATGGTTCAGAGCCCATCATCCCCTTGGCCAAGCACAGTGTCTAGGACATCTCAGTCAACAAATATTTACTAAGAGCCTGCTGTGTACCAGGTATGTTCAAAGTACTGGAAATACTGTGTGGTAAGCAACACAGAATGCCTGCCCTCAGTAGTTTACATCTAAGTTGTATGTGCGTTGGATTGGGGGGGGGGGAGGCAGAGAAACCAAGACAACTGCAGGTATGGATAAGTAAAATGAAGAAGATCAATAGGGGTATATATATGACAGAGTGCCTGGTGGCTGGTTAAGCTGGAATAGTCAGAGAAGAACTCTTCCCTGTTCAGTGCTCTGCAACAATGACAGATGAAACTTGAATGATGATATGAATGGACTTAAGAAGATGCGGGGGGAGGAGTATCTTAAAGCAGAAGGAATAGCAAGTATGAAGTTCTCAAGATGAGAACTAGCTTGGTAGGTTTGAGGGACACAAAGTAGGCTAGTGTAGCTATAGCTGAGAAAAAAACAGGAAGAATGGAGAGAGATAAAGTTCCTTGGGGAGAAGGTCATTTAATTCATCTTGTATCTCTAGCACTTAGGGCTTTCTATGAGAAGGTTAATCTACATAAAGGTAGAACCTGGGCTGGGCACCTAAGGACCAGTAGGATTGAAACAGGTTTAAAGGACAAGATCAGAGATTTTAGGTAGAAAAAGAACATGGGTAAAGGACAGGAGGTAGAAATGTACAGGATAACTGGAATGATAGATCTATGTTGGAGAGAAAATGGAAATCTGGCCTTAAAAGGTAGGTATGGGAGTTGGGATTCTGGAACAGATAGTAAACGGGCCCAAAGCAGATTGCTGATGGGGAGAGGGTGACATGATGAACACAGTGTTTTAGGAATATGGGTTATATAGAGAAGAGGATAGATTGGGGTAGGTTGTGTGTGGGAATTCCAGGAACCAAACAAAGAACTAAGTAGGTAGGATAGTTGAAAACTATACATTAAAACAGACTGGAAAGGGAACAATAAACTCATCTCTAGCTTGTGATGAATAAAATGTAAGCCTCTCTGTCAGAGGGCTCAGCCCAACAGGAGAATATACTGCTACTGAACACTACTGGGGCAAACACACACCCAACGCTAGCATAGAAGCCTCAGGGGACTTGGTATTAAAAAAGTAAAAATGGAATTTAAAACTACCCTCCCTTTCTTTTTTTTTTTAAGATTTTATTTATTTGACAGAGAGAGACACAGCGAGAGAGGGAACACAAGCAGAGGGAGTGGGAGAGGGAGAAGCAGGCCTCCCACCGAGCAGGACGGGACGCGATCCCAGGACCCTGGGACCATGACCCAAGCCGAAGGCAGATGCCTAACGACTGAGCCACCCAGGTTGCCCCTCCCTTTCCTTGTTTTTAACCCCATATATATAGTACACAACCTTTTAAGGAATACACAGAAGTTTTCTGTTAAGGTAATTCTTATACTGCAGCATCACTGATATTCTCCCTTCGATAATTACATAATAAATAATTATATCCTACACTCCATTCTTTCTCTAAGAAACAAGGGTTTTTATTTAAAAGGCACAGTCTGACCCTTTTCACTGTATTACTGAATCCTACTGAGTTTTCCTTTATCCTTGATAGGCATCTGTATTGCTTTCTTTCACACTGAAATTCTGTTACTGAAGTGACGGAACAGATCAGAAAGTGCTTCCACCCTTTACCTGTAACTTGGGCCAATATTCTCTGTGACTTTCTTTTCACTTCATCTGCTGCTGCCCAGGGCATGTGCTCAGAAACAGGCACCATCTCTAGAACTGATTTTCTATCAAATTTTAAGTCCACCAACTGCCATAAGAGTATGTTGATATACTACTGGCTTTTCAGGCTCATCCTGTTTTATTTAGTTCACTATTCTCTGGTGCTTTTAGTGTTTGATGATTTCATCATTCTCTCTCCTTCCGAGAGGTGGGATAGAGACTTTGTAAAAGGAGTGTTCCAAAGTATCAGTCCCTTGAGATTTAAGGGAAGGGCTGCGCCTAGCAGCAAATAACCCTCCTAAGCTAAGGATTGATACTGGGTGGTAGGGAGGGGAGCGTGGCAGTGGTGACAATCCGTCTGCTGATGAGAACAGACCCATGTGACATCTTTGGCATGTGTTCCATAATTGTATAGTCTTTCAGGAATGTTGGAGAATCTTATTTGATATTAAACATGGCCTCACACATACCATCAGAACAGAATAAAAAGTAACAGCAGCTGCTGCCATTTATTTAGTGCCTACTATATATCCAAATTAATTTTTTTAATAGATTTTTTAAAGATTTATTTATTTATCTGACAGAGAGAAAGAGAGAGACAGCGAGAGCAGGAACACAAGCAGGGGGAGTGGGAGAGAGAGAAGCAGGCTCCCCGCTGAGCAGGGAGCCTGATGTGGGACTCGATCCCAGGACGCTGGGATCACGACCCGAGCTGAAGGCAGACGCCCAACGACTGAGTCACCCAGGCGCCCCCAAATTAAGTTTTTAAAAGATTTATTTATTTATTTGGTGGGGGGAGAGGCAGAGAGAAACTCAAGCAGGGTCTGTGCTGAACGTGGAGCCCGATGCCAGGACCCTGAGATCAGGACCTAAGCCAAAACCAAGAGTCAGCTGACTGCACCACTCAGGCGCCCCTATCCAAATTCATTTCTGAAACTCCAAGAAGGTAGTAGGTATTATCTTCACTTTACAGATAAAGAAACTGAAGCTCAAAGAGGTAAAGTAACTTGCCTAAGGGCACACAGAAATTAAGTAGGGAGTAAAGATTCGAATCCATGTCTGTCTGACTTTAAACCCAAGTTGTTGTTTTTTTTTAAGATTTTATTTATTTGAGAGAGAGAATGAGAGAGAGAGAGAGAGAGAGCACGTGAGAGGGGAGAGGGTCAGAGGGAGAAGCAGACTCCCCGCTGAGCAGGGAGCCCAATGTGGGGCTCGATCCTGGGACTCCAGGATCATGACCTGAGCTGAAGGCAGTCGCTTAACCAACTGAGCCACCCAGGCACTCTAAACCCAAGTTCTTTTTTTTAAGATTTTATTTATTTATTTGAGAGAGAGAATGAGAGAGAGAGAGAGCACATGAGAGGGGATAGGGTCAGAGGGAGAAGCAGACTCCCCGCCGAGCAGGGAGCCCGATGCAGGACTCGACCCCGGGACTCCAAGATCATGACCTGAGCCGAAGGCAGTGGCTTAACCAACTGAGCCACCCAGGCGCCCGTAAACCCAAGTTCTTAACCTCTACACCGTGATGCCACTTTGAAACTACTCAAGAAGCCCAGATGAGCTAAACTCCCTTTTATAAGTAAGAAATTTGAGTCAAGTCTATAGTTGATCCAAATTACATAGCCACACAAGGAGCTGGACTGAACTACAGTGACATGACTGTTTGGAGCTTGATGTCAAGGTGGAGTCAATGGGAGGAGGAATGTAATAACTCTACATACCTAGAATCAAAAAGAGGATAATAACAAGCGTTGGGGAGGATGTGGATAAATTTGAACTCTCATACAGCTGGTGGGAATGTAAATGGTGTATCAGCTTTGGAAAACAGTTTGGCAGTTCCTCAAAAAGTTAAATAGAGAATCACTGTATGACCCAGAAATTCTACTCCAGGTATACACTGAAGAGAAATGGAAACTTATTCCCACACAAAAAGGTGTACACAAACATTCACAACAACATTATTCTTAATGGCCAAAAAGTGGAAACAAGTAAATATCCATCAACTGATGAATGGATAAAATGTGGCGCAACCATACAATGGAATATTATTTGGAAATAAAAAGAAATGAAGTAATGACACATGCTACAATATGGATGAACCTTGAATACATTATTCTAAGTGAAAGATGCCAGTCAGAAAGGACCACAAACTACATGATGCCATGCCATGTATATGAAATGTCCAAAATAAGCAAATCTATAGAGACAAAGATTAATGGTTGCCAGGGTCTGGGTGGAATGGGAAGATTGGAAGGCAATGAAAATGCCCTAAAACTGATTATGGTGATGGCTGCATATATCTGTGAATACACTAAAAATCACTGATTTGTGTATTTTGTAGTTGTTTTTAAGATTTTATTTATTTAGAAAGAGAGACAGAGAGAGCATGAGCAGGGAGAGGGGCAGAGGGAGAGGGAGAAGCAGACTCCCCACTAAGCAGGGAGCCCCCACATGGGGCTAGATCCCAGAACCCTGGGATCATGACCCAAGCCGAAGGCAGACACCCAAACAACTGAGCCACCCAGGCACCCCTGACTGTATACGCTGAATGGGTGAATTCTATGGTATATGAATTACATCTCAATAAAGCTGTTAAAAAAGATTATGGATGTCTGCAATTTACTTTGAAATGCATTTAAAAAATGAGAGGAAGGGGGTGCCTGGGTGACTCAGTCGGTTAAGTGTCCAGCTTGATTTTGGCTCAGGTCATGGTCTCAAGGTCGTGAGATTGAGCCCAAGTTGGGCTCTGTGCTCAGTGTGGAGTTTGCTTGAGATTCCCTCTCTCCC